CGTATTGCACGTCCCAGACGATGAAATACGATATTATAGATCACGATACATTTCCAGTAATATCGAAACATAAGACTTTTGAAATTTAAATTGCCGAGAATTAATTAGAAATAAATTTCATGGTCATCTATAATCATCCAAATAAATAAGGGCTCAGAATGATCAGCGTCAGTGGGACCCCTCTTAGTGCTTTCGATGCAGAATATTATGTAAAAAAACGGCTAAATAAAGGACGTCGACATGCAGATTACCAGTCTTGTGCAGCCCCCGCAGATAGAAGATCAGTGACTTCAGAAAGCAATGAAAACATCTGGAAAATATTCTAAAGATAAGTACTCGTAATGCATGTGTGACTTTATTTTAACGCATGCCATTTGAACTACTGTAATGTGTTCGTAGGTCTTAGATGGAACACAGACTATATATATCACTCGGTATATTTTTATAATTTATGTCTATGAATTAAAAGGGGAAAACCATCCCGGTTCTATTTTCATTCCACCTCAAGCACTGCCCTCACCTATCATCTGGGGCTGGTATAATAGGCCAGAAGTGGCCGCAGTACAAGGGACTTAGTCCCACCCCACTAGCAATAAAAAAGTAATACTGAAAACAAAATTATCAGGGAAATATTCGGACCCAAGGAATATAAACGCTAAGAAGCATACACGACGATAACATTAAAATGGATATTAGATGGACGAGTACTGGGAGTTGGTGGTGAAAGAGGCCGGCTCAGGATAGTGTGAAATAGCAGGTTTTGGTTTTAGTAGTTTTGCAACCGGGGGTTATGTTAGACCCGAATCTCGTACGTTGTAGTGTGTTCTCTCTTCCAATATTCTGTGTCGTTCAATAAACAAAGAAACTGTGATTTTAGTCCGCAAACGAAGTATACCGACCGAGCGACCGCCGCTTGTCAGCAAAGTTAGTGCCAACTTTAGAGGATAGAGAGTGTCACGTGGTCAGCGCAACGGATTCCCATGGCAGTTAATCTCGGTTTTCTAGACCGGAGCCGCTTTTTCTTTGAAACAGCTCCTCAATTATCCTCACAAATCTAAGTGGAACCCGTTCTAGAACCACTACTTCTCAGAAAAAGTGGTAGCTCCGGGAATCGAACCCGGGGCCTCTGGATCTGTAGCCAGAACTCTGGCCACTAGACCACAGAGGCGGTCCATATCTTGTAATACAATCATAAAATGTATTTACAGAAAGATATTTTAATTTTGTATCCCTAAGGATCCGGACGTGGTCTGACAGCCCCCTCCCCCTTAGTATTTAGAGGTGACGGCGTGAAACACAGTAAATTTCTTGAAATGTCGACGTAACACCTTACTTCCAGTTATCCCAATCCCTTTGTGATATAAACATACGCCAAGTAATGCTACAGTTACGTCGCCATGGCAACTGCCACCATGCAGCAGACAGAAGTTTCTCTCTCTTACAAACAGGTCTTGTAGCTACTCACATCATGTGAAGGATATTGTTTGTCTTCAGCTGACTGAGGCTGGGGATCTGCTCCAGGCTGCTATGTACGATACGGCTGTCAGCAAACAAAATACAGTGTTTAAGTAACTTCCGAATATTCTATCTCGCAGGCCGTTCAGTATATTACTTTTTAAAAAAATACCAAAGCGTCTGAACAAAAGAATTCAACGAAAAATATTGTACCTAATTCTTATGCGAGAAAAATATGTATATTTTACGGACTGCGTTATTCACTAATGCAACTAAAGCCTAAATCAAACTGTTATTGTATTTACTGCTCATCATTTTATATATGCTAGATATAATTTTTTTCCTATTTGTATAGTGAAGCGAAGATAAGAAGTTCCATGTAAGGTGGGGATGACATCACTCGAGGCTTCCCCCTCTCTACTGCTTGTTGCTAGGAGATATTATCATATCGTCGCCAGAGTACTGCAGTCTTTCATACTAAACAAACAAGAACCAACAAACGGAATATGAAATGTAAGAAAAGCTATCCCTGTAAGAGGACATGAAGGCCCATAAGGTTGTGAGACGTCGAGGCTCCCACACTATCTAGACAATCGACTCACAGCTTTATGCGCCGGATGTCATTTACTCCCAAGAAGATTCCTAGTACTCATTTCTGTCAGAAGCTGAGTCAACCCCAGGGACACAGTGGGACTGGAAGGATTAGGTAAATAGAAAAAAATCCATCTTATCGGGACTCGAATACGCTACCGCGTGCCCCACAAACGGAAAATACAGAATTAAAATAATCAATTAATATAAAAATGACAGCAAGCACTTTGCACTTTTGGAACGAAATAAGCTAATGGACTTTTCTGTTTCTCGGTGTTGCGTAGCACCATCCCCACGTGCTTCCATATGTTTATCTCAGCTGCAAGTGTGAGATTCCTAATGTGTTGTGTTCTGAGTCACGTTCAAACTGCAAATGATTCCATAACTTCGAACCCAGTTTCCGAAGATCGGTGTTGATGCGTAGTGTTCATATGAACAGAATGGCTAGGGTCCTGGAAGGGGAAGCGCAATAGCTTGGTAGAGATGTTGAGGTGGTCGACCTTCGACCTGTGGGGCATCTTGCCGTGATCTCAGTATAGCAGACGCCATGCGCAAGTCGACGTTCATGCACCCGAGCGAAAATGTGGGAAGGTTGAAAATCAAAAACCAGTGGTGGTGGAATTTAATTTTATTAGTGACTATTAACGTAAGTATATGGCTAATATTAAACAGATATTGTATATATCAAATAAATGTTGGGTATTCTATGTAGTTTTGTTTTGGTTTAAGGAACACAATGTTTCGGAAGGCGATTCTTATACCATCAACAGGTATAAACCTGACATGTACCATGTTAGATAAAACATTGTTTTATCCATGATCCTGATATATATATATATATATTAATTCTGTTTAATGTACCCAACAAAGTAGGTTTCATATTTCACTAAGCCTCGTGAGGGTAAATGAGGAACTATTTCGAGGATATAGCGGCTCCGGTCTAGAAAACCGAGATTAACGGCCGTGGGATCCGTTGCGCTGACTACGCGACACCCTCTATCCGCTAAAGTTGGCACTAACTTCGCCGAAAAGCGGCGGTCACTCGGTCAGTATAGTTCGCTTGCAGACTACAGGTCACGGAGATTGTGTACAAGAGAAATGAAAGTTCTACAGACGAGTAAAATAAAAACACTGAAGAACAAAGAGGTTCAATAAATATATCTTATGGGTACTAGGAATCTTCCTGGGGGTAAAGGGCGGCCGGAGCGTAAGGCTGACATCACCGCCATCTGTGAACTGCTTGTGTAGATAAAATGTGGGAGCCTCGACGTCTCACAACCCTATGGGCTTCCACGGCCTGTTACAGGGATAGTGTTGGCCTTCTTTATTTTAGAGATATGTATTTTATGTCTGACGAACTTACAGTATTTTCAGACGTGGCAGCTCCACGTGGAACACAAAAGGAGAGATGGTCTTCAGGGCAGGTGCCTGATGAATGTAACTGCAAGAAAGAGAGACACTTCGTAAATACGCAATATATTTGCGTCAATGACATGTAGGCACTTTAAAGGATAGCAGTTGTTGCGCAACAAGTCTATTGTAGGGAATTTCAACCTTACGACTAAAAATGCGAAATATTACGCTCTTACGGTGCGTTACGTGACATGATCACCGTGTTATACGCACCGCTTTGGAATGCCTTCGTCGTAGTGACACACGTGTCTATGTAATGACTCCCTCTTTCAGTAATTTTTACAATCAATGATTTTTTTTCCAAAATCCGACTGACATACACATAACATATTTTATTATCAAATTTTAAACTAACGTTTATCTTTGTTTCCTTTTATAATTTATATATATATATTATTTATAGCTTAGAATCTGGACTGTAGTTCCAGAAACTATTCTTGTTTCTCGTAATGGTTACTGATATTAACATCTCTATATTTTGACACATTCGGGGCAAAATTCTTGTGGGGCACACAGTAAAACATTTTTTCTTTCGAAATTCACGCACCTAATACTGTAGCACACGATCTGTAAACACTCGAACACACGTTATTTAAAATAAATAACGCTTAAAGTACATCACACCGCAATATAACGTAAACAAGACTTGTTACCATGGTTACTAAAGGCACGAGATTTACACAATCAGTGTCATCTCAATTCCACCGTCTTTTTACGGAGGAAATTAAGAAGTAATAATTTGACTGGGATGGGAAGCGAAGCCTGTAACACCAAGATTAACAAATTTCCCGGGGCTGGGTATCCAAGCAGAGCATCAAGGTCAGTGTAACATGCTGTAGGATAGTAAGACAGTTTAAAATAATGCAGCAAGACTGTTGGACTTTAAACAGGAGTGGCGGTAACATACAGCAGAAGTGGGATAGCAATATGACACTGGAGAAAAATCAGCGAGTCACTAATACAGGAGAAGTAATAGTAATGCACGCTGTTAAACAGGAGCAGAACTAAGACATATTATTGAACAGGAGCAGCATTAAACCAGTCTGTTGAACAGGAGTATTACGTAGTGATGCACGCTGTTAAACAGGAGCAGAACTAAGACATACTATTGAACAGGAGTAGCATTAACGCAGTCTGTTGAACAGGAATAGGTCATAATGTTACATAGAAGCAGAACTAAGACATACCATCGAACAGGAGTAGCAGTAAAGCAGTCTGTTGAACAGGAGTATTAATAATGCACATTGTTACATAGAAATACCATTAAGACACCCCATAAAGCAGGATTATCAGTAACACAATGAAGAACAGTAAGAAGAACATGGAGCACACTAAAAATAAAAATGCATAAAGACACTGGATAGGACGAAATCTGTAAGATGCAATTATTACAGTAATAAAGCACGCTGAAGGCTGAAAACACAATGTTGAACAGGAGTGACATTAAGGCACCTTGTTAAACAATAACGGCAGAAAGGCACAATTTTGAAGAGATGTAGCCTTAAGCCACTCTGAAACAGAAGTAGCAGTGAGAGCAACAAGACACGCTGTAACACGAAAATAAGTGAAAACACTGAATTGGAAGGAATAAGTAATGTTTTAACACAACAGGAGTAGTCATAAGGCACACTACTCTTGAACAGGAGTAGCAGTAAGATGCTGTAATCTGAAAGTCACTTTCACTCCCTTACACACTCGCCTTTCTCACATACACAACACTGGGTGGACATAATGATCTAGTTACATATATGTCGTATGACTCACAAGATAACTACGAAAATTTGATGCAATTAAACCGGTATGTTTTGTAGGTATAATTTCGAGATCTCGGTAAGTTATTGATTAATCCTATGAAGGCACTAAAAACAAAGCTCAATGACAGATGACATTTAAAGCGGGTTTTATTCTACAATGAAACTTTTGTAACAACCAAGATGTAAATATTTCGCCACTAGAAGTAATAAAAACCGGAAATAGTAAACTTTTAAGCTCATGAAAGCTTCAATATTATGACCAAACTGTTCAAGCTGTTGAATGCCCTTTACAACATAACGTAAACATCAGTGTGACAGGCTATATTTTCTGCAATAAAGAGATTCTGACGACCGAGTCACAGTGGTACAGAACCCATCAGGTTAATAGAGCTGTAACATTGTAGCTTGTATACGAAATTTATCCAATTAGAATCTAGGACTTGTTAAGACTTATCTTGATAATACTGTCACTGTTTCCATCTCATTCCAGGCAAATATCAAAAGAGAAACCTCTAAACGGGTCACGATACACCCCATTTTAAGTCGCGTATTTACTCATCAATAAGGTTCTTCCCCGACACAGTTAATGTTATAGGTATGCAGCACGTGTCTACACGGCGGTTAAATACTGTCACGTGTTTATGGTTCCGTGACTAATAATAACGGGTTCTGGATTGGATAATTGGATTTACTGACACCTCCTTGCACAATCTGGCTTAATCACAATAAATTTCTACCTGAGACTCGCTCCATTCTAGTTCTTGTTTTCTGAGAGAGAGAGAGAAGAAGAAGTGGTGGTCGTAGTGAGAGACACTACATTGGGGGCGGGGGGGGGAAGAAACTATATCTCAGATTTTGAAGGTTCCCAGGCAGTGCCCGCTTGTCCTTCTGGTAAAGATAGAGCATATAATCTGATTTTTGTTTGTTTGTTTTTGCTAACGTTGGGAGGGCTATATTAAGGCGAAATTTTGATGTTAACAATGGGAGGGCTGCATGTGAGGCATGCAGTGCAACGTGGAATTGGGTACCAACTCAGCATTTGCTCTAGTACCGAGGAAAACCACGGAAAACCTTGGTCGAGCTGGCCGGTCTCAGGACCTTCCGGATACAAACTGACTTCTAGCCAGCAGTCCGGCTTAAATACGCGAACCCTAACATTAGACCCCGTGTGTCCTGTTCCTTTATTTCAAAAGTTTACATTTGTTTTTCTACAGTTTTTTTTTGTTGCATACTTTGGATGAGCAGCAAACATTTGTGTATCACATTTGTAAAGGGTTTTAACTGTTCAAGTTGATAAATTTAAATCACTGTTGTGAAGGGGCAAAGGGTTGTTGCTCGTCCAATGACAAGATTTTATAATTACAATTTTTTTTTTTATAACATCTACTTTTCTTGTCCAGCATAGGTGTGGTGATTGGTCGATGTGGCCGCGGGCGTACTGGGCATTTAGGGAGTTGCAATCATCCGGTTACCTGTAAAGAGATCTTAAAGCTGATTATCTTGCAAGCAGGGATAAGGGACGCAGATGTTTATCACCAGTGGGATCGTAGTGTCCTAGTGCCTGAATCTGACTGTTTTCGCTGGTTACCGATTTCTGGTACAATGTCCTCGCTAACCTCTTGAAATGACTTTTTATTGATGACATTCCCGTCTGTTCATGTAAGGTTGTAATTGGTGTTACCCTCGGCAATTTTGTTATTATCCTGAGGACTTTATTTTGAAATGTCTGTAATTTATTTATGTGAGTGTTGGCAGCATAGCCCCACGCGGGGGAGGCATATGACAATATGGAACGGAGGAGTGATTTATAAATTACCAACGCTAAATTAATGTCAATTGTGGAGGATTTATTTAATATAGGATACAGTTGTCTGAGTCTGTAATTAGCTTTGCGCAAAATACAGGATATGTGGGTACGGTAGGTTAATTTTGAGTCAAGTGTAACACCAAGATACTTCGTTTCCTTAGTCCAAGATATGGTTTTGTTAAAAATCTTTACTTGATGCTTACTGCAGCCCTGATGTCGCAGTCGTTTAGAAAAGAGTGTAATTGTGCACTTTTTTGCATTAATATGTATTCTCCACTTCCGGAACCATGGTTCTAAGAGGCGTATGGCAGAGTTTAACTTTCTGACTGCTATATCTATGCTGCCTGACCGAACACTAATATTCGTGTCATCAGCATAGACCGATATGGCTATGTTGGAGTCATTTTCAATTGAAGGAATGTCATTAATATAAATATTGAAGAGTGTGGGTCCAAGTAAGCTGCCCTGAGGCACTCCGGCCTGAATGGGGCGTAGGTTTGAATAATAGTTTTTGTGCATTACAAAAAAGCATCGATTCTGGAGGTAGTTATGTATTATATGAATGAAGTGAGGTGGAATTTTGGCCGAAATGAGTTTAGCAATCATCCCGGTGTTCCAGACCTTGTCGAATGCTCGTTCAATATCCAGGAATAAGGTTACTGTAGCTTTGTTATTGTTGAAACCGTGCGTAATGCGCTCCACATTCCTTAACAGCGCATGTGTTGTGGAGTGACCTCTTTTAGAACCGTATTGGTCATTTCTGATAGCTTGCAGCTTCCTAAGTTCGAAGTTTAGTCTTTTTAGAATGATTTTCTCTAAAAGTTTACCTAAAGAATTTAGAAGGCTTATTGGTCTATAATTTAGTGGGGACGTATGGTCTTTGCCTGGTTTCGGAAGCATAATAATTTTTGCCTCTTTCCATTGTGTAGGAAAATAATTTAGGGCAAGTGATCTATTAAACAGTTTTGCAATAAATTTGAAAACAAACCGCGGCAGATGCTGAAGTATTATATTCTGTATCCCGTCAGGCCCTGCTGCTTTGCGTGATTTGAGGTGGCGGACAATCCAAGCGATTTCTGAATGATTTGTGGCCCTCATCCGGTCTGTGAGTGGCTGTGCAAGGAAGTCATTCACTACCTGTTCAGTGCTAACTGTAAAAGTACGATCAGCATCCAAATTGGTAGTGAAAATTTGTTCCAAGGTATCGGCAAATACGTTTACTTTTTCCTGGGTTTCGGTCACAGTTTTCCCATTAATGGTAAGGGGTGGGATGTTAAAATTTGTGTTTGTTAAACTTTTAGTTATCCGCCAGGTGTCTCTCATGTTATTAGTGTCCAGCCCTTGTAAAGTTTTCTGCCAGGTGTTCGATAATTGTTCTTTTATTGCCGAATCTATTTGCTCTTTTAAAGAATTAATGAGAGGGCGAAGAGTAATATCACGGGTTCTTTGCCATTGCGTCCGAAGCCT